ATGTGGAAAGCAGTCATTTAAGTACAAAAAGAGAAAATATACTGAGAGGTATTGCAAAAAATATTTTCACTCATAAGAAATGGAAAAACTAATGCTGAAAGTGCTTCCCAAGCCTGTCTTCTACAAGTAGCACCCAACAATGTCCACCAAGATTTTTTTTTTTTTTCAAATGAAGAGAAGAAATACCTGTCACTACAACTCGTTTGCTTGCTTGCTTGCTTGTTTGTCCCATTCTTCCTGTGGAGGTTCAGCTTTGCCCCTTCCATCACCAAAGACAATTTGGACTGAGATCAGCCCATGTTGCTTAGACGTGATTTATATAATCACTTTCAGAGATTTTGATGGCCATGAATTCTCAGTACAGATCTCCTGTCTGTTCTGCCATCCTAAGCAATCCCCCCTGGTAGGGCTCACTGTGTGGTGACGTGCAACAAAGCAGAGGGGCAATTGTCACAACTGCTGACCTCCAGCCTTTCCTCTCACTCCAGACAACATAAGTAGCTGAGTTCAAAGTAGAGCTCAGTTAAAGCACAACATACGTCACGAACAACATGGTCTTGTTCTGCATTCCATGCAGAATGAGTTTGGTTCTTTGTGATCTCCTTCACTCTTCTTTTATCAGTTAAGCATCTCCTATTAACCCATGTGAATAGCTGGATTTACAGGTTGGTGACGGAGTTGCTATAGTACATGTTCTTATCTATTTAAATTCTGTTTTTAATACAACATAGACACTGAACCACCAAGGGCAAAGCTGCCTTTGTAATTCTCCAACTATGTGACACATTTCCCTTCAAATATGTACAAAGTCTGGGGCTATGTCTGAAGCTAGAAGGGCAATGGAAGATTCATTATGAGCAGATAATGCTTATAATGCAGTGTCCTCAACTGGTCCACTCAAGACGGGCAGATTCCTTGCAGAACACGTCATGCAGAGTCTGTCCCAATACAACACTGTGAAGTTGGCTTTTTTCCACTCTTCTCAATTGATTTTGCAGTAAACAGACATTGCCAGGCTGAGGAAAAATTCCTATTTCTGTGATTATTTTGTGTCTTTTGAAGTTATAGAACAGAAAAAGCAGTGAGGTGTAAAAAGATTAAGTTTCAACAGAACACTGCTTCCACTGGCAACTCCATATGTCCCCCAGACACTATAGTCTGTACTCTGGAATTTGATAGTTGGAAAACTAAGTCATTCTTTCAAACAGGAATGGTCAAGGTTTTGAACATACACACACAGACACACATCTTTTCTATCTGACCAGGCAAGAGAATTCTATAGCACTGAAGAGGGCTACAGCAATTGCATCAGCATTCTTAACATATTGATAAAAAGGTTATACACCTGCAGGGTTATAAATTCTGTTTCAAGTTGCTGCTAAGGGAAGGTAGTGCACCTGGCAAGTTTTTCAAATTTGCTCTAATGAAACCAGGATATTTTGTTAGCAAGAACTGGCAGAAGAAAGAAGATACAGTGCCACGTAGAAAAAGAATTTTTAAAGCAGAATAAATATACAAGGAGATTTTTAAAAGCTATTAGGAAAACTGTAAGGATTTTTTTTTTTTTTTTGAATTGCAGAGGCATCAAATCAAAACAACTTTCTTTGCTAAGAATTCTGGTGTCCAAAAAAATATGCTACCTGCTGTACTGCTCTCACCTTACAAGCTAAACAGGAGGTAGAAAACTAGTAAAATCATGATTTTACTATTACTGTGCCCAATCATACCTTTCCATATCCACATTTCTTCTTCTCTTCCCATATTCCATGAAATATTTATTTGAATGTTTAAAGACATTCAAGTTCTGATTTCTGATTAGCTACATAAAATCTTCTCTAACCAATTTGACTATAATCTCCAAAAATGTGCAAATAATAAAAACAGATAGAGAGAGGATAAAAATAATAGACAGGAGAAATCYGTGATTGGAATGAAAGAGGATATGTACTATAGTCTTTCTATGCAATCCAGGCTTCAGTACTTCCATACATTTTTAAATACATTTTTTAAATAGGAACATGACTTTCATCCAGGGAGACAGTTTACAAAATTACAAAAATGACTTCTGATGCTGTGGGGAAAGTTTCATACTTATAATTTACTCAGTTTGTTGTATCTGTATATCCAGATGAAAATACATTAAGGCTATTCATTTTATTTTTCACCACAGCTTCTTTTTTTGTTTGTTTTGATTTGAAAGAGCACTCCTGGGAGAGCAAATAACATCAAGCTTGGGTGTAGTGCTCTGCCACTAGGTGATTAATCACAAGTGCTGTGATGGAGAGAAAGACTTTCAAATTCAAGAATAAAGCCACTTAATTCTTATAACAACAGGAATGACTTGAGCAATGACTGATGGAGGAGATCTGTGTCATCCGGCCTTCTGCAGTGACAAGGCAACATAATTCACTGGCTCTGAAACACTGYGAGATGAAGGTCAGTCGGAGCTTTAGACTTAATGCTCAGCCACATTTATCAAACTTCAGCATTTCTAGGAACACAGGCACATGTATTTTTTTCCCCTCTTGTGTACATCCAGCACATCAGTCAGTTTCTCATGTGCTTCCAGAACCTAAATAACCTACACCATCAGTTGGATCTTAGCAACAATTTTATCTGTTCTGAAATAGGCTAAGAACACTTGATTTTTTTTTTTTAATCACTTCATTATATTTTGTTTTGGTCTTTTTCCTGTGTTCTCACAGCAGACAAAAGATTTTTTTCCATTATCACTGACTGCTTTCAAATTACTTTTTCACCAATATTTCATAAATGCTACAAATATTACTCTCTAAACCATCCTAAACAAAACTAGAAACACATTAATGGAGGCAGGCGACAACATGAAAAATCGGTCTGAACACCTCTAGGCCTTAGCGCAAAAAAAAAAAAAAAAAAAAAAAAAAGCCACCCACACAAATAAAAGATTAAATAAAACAAATTGCCCTATAGGTTCCTTCTGGGACAGTCAGAAGAACCGCATACTATGTCAAAGTAGATGTTCAGAAGCTATATGACAGAATAAATCAAAACACAACCAATCCCTGGCTGTCCAGTAAGCTCCCCATTCAAAGGAGGAAAATAATTACAAAATTTTAGATTTTAATTCTGGAAATTTTCTCTGATGGTAAGCTTTGAATTGATGGGATAATTAAAACAAAAATCAGTTGTAATATAGTTGAAACACAGGAATACGTTGTCTCATTTGTCAGTAGCATCCATACAATTTGTTCTAGAGATGGAGTTAAACTGAAAACTTTTGTCCAATTTACTATTTACATTAGCTTTTTGGTTGACTTAAAGAGGAAGAGTAAGAAAGACTCCAATATGTTTGATCAAAAATACACAAACCCCTCCACAAAAGGGAGGGGCAGAATCTGCTATGCTGCTGCTATGCTGGTGTAGTGTCCAGCATCCTCTTTCTAAAGCCACTGAAAGCAAGGGCAGTTACACAAGTTGCCAAATGCAAGTCCCTGTTCAGTCACATAGGTGACCTTAGTTTCAAAACCCATTTCTTATCAATATTTGAAAAAAAAAAAAATAGAATTATAGAAACACACGGGAACTGTCAAAAAAGCAGGTTAATGTTTCATCTACTCTAGAACCACATCTGTGAAAACATCTAGGGCTAGAGCTAACAAAAAGAAATAGCCCTAGTTCAAGTGTGGAAAATTCTGTCCATCACTTCTATTTTGCTCATATCCATCAGCTAGATGTTGGTACCTATGACATAAAGCATACTATGATGAACCAGTTCTGGTTGTATTTTAACTAAAAATATTTGAAACTCATATATACCTACAGAACACAAAGACAATGCCTATTAATTTCTCATCTGATATATCTTTCCTCCAGTTTCTAAAAGAYTGTTATTGTTAATGAGATCCACATTTCTGCAGGTCTCAACAAAATGTAAAACCGACAGAGTAAATCATGGRCTAAATAAATATATCAGGAAGAGAGAGAAAGATAGATAAAGGGAAGTGTTTCAGAGGGAAGTACTGAAGGAAAGAAAAGCCAATCATTCCCTTATACAATATAGATGCAAAATGTGTGTGTAGAAGCTCATCTGCTTTCACTCTAAATGGAACTACAGGGTAATGGGATATTCAATGAGAATGAAAAGCAATCAATCTCAAATCACTACCATATTACTAGTAGCTACATCTCCATTTTATTTGGCCAGATTAAAAAAAACATCAAAAAGATCATCAAAAAAGATCAAAATATCATCAGCCATGTGAACTAAGTAAACTTCCTGTATAATTTCATCATTACAATGATCTTTGTGGGAGTCAAGATATGTTATATTTTCCTCTGAATTATTTAGTTGTGACCATTCCAGCCCCAGGACATGGCACTGGAGCTATTGTTTTGCAAGATAATCACATTGACTTTTTTCTCGTGTCGAAATTCTACGTACAACATAATAGTAGGATGTAGAATTTGGGGGAGTAGTGGTATTGAAAATGTAGAGCAGGGTTCTAAAGTTTACAAATATCATACTGTTAAAAAACTTCATTCTTTTGTTAAACATCAGTACATATAAGTAAAATTKTAATCTATTCCAGAATTCTATCTGTATCAAAATAAAGTTTACTCATGAGTATGTCCAATTTTCCTACATCTGTGGCAACAAATGCTTCCCAGTAATCTGTTAAATATACATGCAGTTATATGCAAAGTTAAATTGATTTTTGCATTTACATTTTGCATCATTTCATCATTTTTTTTTGTTTCTCCTTACAATTAAACTGTTCTTATTTCCCTTAGAGTGCTTCTAATTCTTTTCATCTAATTCCATTCTTTTCATCTTAGAATTCTGGGCTATAAAAATCCTCATTCGAGATTTGTTTCTGAAAATCCACCTATTTTGATATCCAGAGGCTGGAATTCAGGCAGAACTGACACCTGTGACATCCAAACCAACTTGAAGGATATGGGCACCAGATCATATTTCAATATTCTGTCCGGAATGTTTAAGTAGTAATTCATCTTACCTGTTTGTGGGCATGATCATATGAGTTAATGTGATTGTCAAACTCCTGGTGTTTATAGTACTGCTTGTCACAGAGTTCACAGTAGAAGTTGGCTTTAAGATCTTCCAGAGCTTTTGCTATCGTGTTTTTCTTTTCAGCATAATCCTGCAGGGGGGGTGAAAAAGTCATTTTAGTTTTCTCTCTGATGCTGGGAATGGATTTTGTGCTCTGCAGTTAATCATATTTGTAAACATTTACACACCCCCATAACTAAAGGCCTTCACATATTTGCGGTGTTACACTGCACATATTTACTGTTTATTCTGAGAGGTTCATGATTTGCACACTTCAATTTGCTGTACAGTTGACAGCCTCCCTCAGGGGCTCTGTCTGAGGCTGCACTTACAGAAGGATTTCCTCAGGTTCTGTCCAAATACAAATATTTATCACACGGAAGGTTATATCCAAGTAAATTACCATCAAAGAGCCTTTGCTCAAAAGACTCRGTAGGTAACACACCTAAGCAAACTGAGCGCAAAGATACAAACTCCAACAATTTAGCTATCATATTTTTGCAATTAATTACGGTGATTAATAAAAGACAAATTTTAAAAATTCTGCTATGTCAAAGATGAAAAATGATGAACATTTCCAYAGCTGAGATTTCATGAATGCTTTCAGTACTTTTGGCATTTGATATCCAATACTAGAAGGAAATACACATATCTCTGTTTACATGAGCAAAGATATTACAACTTTTGCTATTACCTAGTATACATATAAGCAATACCTYGCTAAATACTTTCCTAAATAAATGCCATGTTATAGTCAGTGTTCAGAAATAAGCCCTGYTATTGAGAAGTCTGAGACAGAATTGCACCCTAAAAGGCCAATTGCTGCAAATATTGTTTAATAAAATATACACAAAGGAGTGTATTTATTTGTTACTATTTATTTCAAAGAGAAAAGATTCATTTAGACCTCTCTAAAATTGACTGTAATTCCTGTCTATTCCTCCCCTCTTCCTTGTTCAATTAGACTAAGATAAAATACGAAAATACAATATCATAAATTATAAGTTAATTTTGGAAAAAAAAAAGCCTCTGTGCTAGCAAATTTTAAAGTTTGTTTACTTGCATACTTTCAAGTATATTTCAGGAGTTAAAAATGGAAAATTTATTTTTTTGTTGTTTGTATGTCTTTTTAAGAATGATGTTTATTTAAAAAAAGAAAAACAGAAATAATAGCCATATCCACAGGCATATTTCAACTGCTACTTTAAATATAATTCAATGCAATTAGAGGGCTAGCAAATACTGTTGATTCATATCCAGAGGTATTCCCTCATACAACTTTGTTCATTAATACTGCAGGAAGAACTATGAAAAGAATAGCAAAAACCACTTCAGAATTCTATTTTGAATCCAAGGTGAGGAATTCAAACATTACACATTTGTATATGATGTTTCATAAAATTTGTTTCATATAAAAACATAAGTCAGCATATTATTTCAAGAGACAGAAATATATCACATTTTGAACTATATTTATGGTATCTGGAAATCTGTCCTGGAAACTCTGCTCYTAGTTGTGCATAGTAACTATTAATAAAGTGCAGTGCTCACTCACTTCAGTTATTAAGGTCCTCATGCAGTGAAATACCTAATACACTCCCCTGATACAGCTTAGAAGTAATACTTGTAGTCCCCAAACAGATGACATCTAATTTTGCTTTTTTTGAAAGAAAAATAAGAATTTGTGGAATAAGGGGATTATCAGAGCTCCAGAACATAAACCATTTGTGAAGGGCAAGGGCAAATCTGACATTATGAAACAAGTGGTCTGTTTGACACTATTTCTTTATATAAAAATTTAAAAATATATCATTGTAGGATTGTAGGAAAATTGTACACTGCAGGAAAATTTTTCAGGCCTTACTCATGTAAGTTTAAGTAGCAGTTTCAAGAGCACCATGATCTGTCAGTGGGGATTCTACTACTAAAATCCCTCTAGCAGGGTTCAGGGGTAGCAGACTAATTTTATTTTATAATATTACATTTCAGGGACAACATAAAAAATGCTACCAGATACATTTCAAATAGATTCAAATAAAGATGCAGAATATAATAATGGAGTTTGAACATGCACAAGGGGGGAGGRACAAGGAATGCACCTATTCCCTCCTTGTCATTCCTCATATGGAAAGTATTCATTATCTTTGCTTGTTCTTTTACAGACTCCAAAACTTTTTGTATCATAACCTGGCTATCTGAAAAAAAAAACATTACAAAAAGCTATATGATTGTGCCATACAGTACTATTATTGTTCTCTATTTCTTTCCCTATACTTTTTTGTAATAATGGTTAGCACAGCACATTTTTTTTTTCCTCAACCACCACCAAGCACTAAGCCAACATTTTTATAGAACTGCTTTACCACCTACATCATTCACTGCTGCATAATATTTTGCTGGCAGGGCAATTTTGTTATCCAATTACTAATCTTAATTTGACTTGTGAAATTGTGTGCACGAACAAAGCATGATACACAGGAAGGGAGAATGCAGGACCCTCTTTAAAAGCACTGGCAGATGATGCATCTTTAATAGGATGCATATGAACACTCCAAAGTTATGTTCATCAGTTTCTGCAGTAGGAGCCATGGCCATCAATTAACCTACGTGTTGATATACCCTTTTTGTGATCTAAACATGGGGAAAAAAAAACCCAAAACATTAACTATTAKTTGTGGGCTTATATCTATCTGCAATAGTGTATATTTTCCAACCAGTAATTCCTAGTAAAAGTATCTTTTCAAAAACGTTTGCATTACTGGTGCTTTAAACAACTGTTGAAATTTAAAAAGGTAGTTTCTTCATGTTATTCTCTAATGCAGATGAAACTTAATTTGCTGGAAAATGATACTGACTCATCTGCCTTTTTTTATTTTTATTTTTATTTTTTAAAGGTCAGGCTTCAGACAGTTTTACTTCAGACATGCAAACAACACCCTCATCCACTCCTCAGTTACATCAAAGCCACTACTGAAAAAGAACTCCCAAATCTATTGACAGATCTATTTTTGTGTAACTTATACCTCTCTGGGGCTTAATAAATACTTAATGCAGAATTCTAGAGATTTTCTACAGCTGTGGTATTCTCCAGGCTGCGCAAGAWTTAAAAATAAGTTACCATTGCTGGATGGTATTGGGCACTGAGGAAAGTCAGATTTCAAGGTTGGATAGSGAATGGAAATATGAGAATACAGGCTGCTGATTCACTGTCTATTAAATTATTTCTATTGATTTTGAAGAGCAGCACTAGCTTGGAAGAAGAGATTCTGTTACCTCTATGCATTCTGATCAGAGACAGCTGCCCAAAAACTGAATGTAAGAAATCACAGTCACTGGACCTTGATAGTACTAGGCAATGCATTACTGTCAGTAATCCCAGGACTCAYGCGAGAATATTCCCGGAGCAAAGCTGTAGCCAAAATTCACTTACAATGGTGAAATCAGACCAAGCTTCATCTTAATTTCATCAAATAATTTCCAAACCATAGTGGAAGTTTAAAAAGAAATTTGAATTATAAAATTGAGAAGTAACTGTGACTTAGTTTCATCATTTTCTTTCCCGAAAGGCCTACTGTCTGAAGGCCCATAGCTATAATTCACTGTATCGCTCTCTCTCATAATTTATACGAAAGATCTCTACTAAGTGATCACATCCATCAGCTGGCTTTATTTCCCTAAATCCATCTCCTCCACTCCCAGATCTTTAAGTCACTTAAGTCTTACTTTAACTAGACTAAACTTTCTGATCACCTCATATGAAAGGAGGAAGTAGAAGGCAGGAAAACTACTGAAGCATTTACCACTTCACATAGATAACTCTGGAAAGTTAGCTTGATCCTTCMGTCTAGTGGGTATTTTTATGGAGTGCACTTCAGGCTCATACTTCTTCCTTTTTCTGCACAAAGATTAAAAAGAAAAAATAATAGAATAGGAATTTCCACTGTATCATCTACTCCATGGCAACTGCCCGTGTGAACATTGCTCCACAATCAATGTGAGCTCCTTTTATTAGAGGAGAAAATTATTTTGCATTTACTGTAGGCTTAAAAGGGGCAGGCATGCATTACTGCAAAGTAAAATACTTAAATACAGAATATTTTAAGAAACAATCCCCTTCTAATTTGTGATAATTTAATGGTATAATTATCACTTAATTATCACTTGGGACGATTAGGCTACTCTGGTCTTCTCCTCTTGATTTGGCYGCTTTAGATCTGACAGATGTTTCTGCATAACCTCATTGCACACAAAAATATGTATATATTTTTTTCTCTTCCAAGACTCCCCCCAAAAATCAAAATCATATTGTCGTCAAAAACTACCAGCTAATTCTCTTCATTTTATTAAAAACTGCTGCTTAAAAATTGTTACCAAAAACAAGCCAACAAACAAAAACAAAAAAAAAAGAGAGAGAAAAAATACAGGAAAAAAGAAACAGACACAAATTAAGAGTAGACATCCCAATCGTCAATTATCTAGAAATGCTATTTAAAGACAGTATTTAAAGACAGTACAAAGAAGCAGATTCCACTGAATAAAATATAGAGTTTATTATTATTGGCTCTGTCCTCTATCTTCGAATTACTACGTATATGTAATTTTAAAAATGTCCTCACACAACACTTTTTTCTCCTATAAGGAATCTATATATCATCTCTCAATGCACTTGAAGAAATAAATATTTTTCAAAAAATATATTAATAATATTAATGCTCTGCAACACCAAATCTAATTATTTACAAGGTTCTTGTTGTTACTAAGACAGTGAGGTCAAAGCAAAAGGCAGTACACTGATCAAATTACTCATCAATTTAAACAAATTCATTTCCATACAGTGTATAACGAATTTCAGTTTCATACCCAAGTTTAAAAGGAGACYGTTTGAGAAAAGCAATACCAGTAATATTGTCAGATCCTTTGGTTACCTTACTCCAAACTTGCCTGTGAGATATGATAACAACCTAGAAATCAAGAGGTCAGAAACATCAGCTGGTATTTCCTTTATTTCTTGAACYCTTCTTTCATTCTACTTCTTGGTAAAGGAAGAAGTTCCCACTAGTCCTCTCCCTACTATTTCACTGCTCTACTGTT